GAAAAGTCACACAGAGAATAAATTGAGCATGGGAGACTCAATTTCAGGGCTTCTGACTGTAAGGCCAATCCAGTCATGGGCCTCAGCAAGTCACTTAACCCTGTTGGCCTCAGTTTCCTCATCTGTAAAATGAGCTGGAGATGGAAATGGCAAACCACTTCAGGATCTTTGCCAAGAAACCCCCAAATGGGGTCAGGAAGAGTCAGGCATGACTGAAATGACTGAATAACAACAAAATGAATGAGTGTATAAGGTTGTTTTCCATCCCTGTCAGAAGGGGACCCACCCCACCCCACCCTAAGGGAAAAGAGAAAGTGTCCAAGTCACCAGAGGTAGGCTGGGTACCAGGAGGAGGGACTGTAGGGCAGGTGGTGGGAAGGCAAAGAAAGGAAAGTGCCTGATCCCCAAAACACACTACATCTACTTCCCAAATACAAAAGCAAGCCTTTAAGGAACCCATTTCTACTGGGATTGAGGAAGAAGTCTAACATATTCACAAATAACTACATATAGTATATGTCCTTCTTTTTGCCAAGGACCACCTGGCCCAGAGTGTAGGGTTTATTCCATATCCTCTCCCTTCTAGTGAGGGCAAGTGGAGGGAATTCGGGATTTGGAGTCAGGAAGGCTTAGCTTCCAATCTCACCTCAGGCACTTCCTGGCTGGGTGACTGTGGACAAGTCACTTACTCCGCCTCAGTTTCCTCTTTGGTAAAATGAAGAAAATAATACCACCTACCTCAAGGTCATAACAAGAGGATCTAATTGAGTTAATACCCATAAAGTGTAGAGTGCTATGTAAATGTGAGCTCCTATTATTCTAATTCCTTTTATTTTGCTGGCTAATTCTGAGTTCCTAATTTTCTTAGGAGATCTGGTTTAGGACTTTTCTCCTTTGAAATGGAGGAAAAGAAGAAAAAGGGAAAATGGAAGTAGTAGTAAACTATCCCTTTCTCCTCCATCCCTTAATTGCCAAATTACCATCACTATCGATTGTTTGTTGACAAAGTCTTCCAAGGCCATCCACTTTACAGTTGAGGAAACGGGAGACCCTGAACTTGCCTCTCACACTGGGAGCAGAGACCAGATCTGAATCCAGGTACTCTAGCTTTATATCAAATGAAATAATATTTGTAAAAGTGCTTGGCACAGTACCTGACACATAGTAGGAACTTTTATATATATAAAATATTATAGACACACATAAATATTACTTCATCCCTCACCCTTATATCATGCCCCAAACCTCTCATTTTCCCCAGGAAGAAAATTAATTTTAGAGGGGGATGGGACATGCCCAAGGTCCATAAGGGAATTGGTAGCAGAGCCAGGTATAGAAGCAAGGTCTCCTGGCTTCTAGGTCATTGGGTGTTCCACTACACTGAGCTAAGAACAATTATTAAGTCGAAGGGAACTTTAGAAGGTCATTTAGCCATAAGCTGATAGATAGGTCTCGAGCCAGATGGGACCTCAGAGGCCATCTAGAGATGGTTCAGGAATAGACTGGGGGCCTTGGAGTCAAGAGGACCCCAGCTCAAATTCCTCCTTACTGGTTGTGTGACTCTGGGCAAATGATTTTACCTCTCCTCAGCCTCAGTTTCCTCCTCTGTAAAATGGGCATAATAATAATAAGCACCTATCTCCCAGGATTGTTGTGAGAATTCTGAGATAATATGTTGCTCACTTTGCAAAACCCAAAAAACAAAAAACCAGCCAATGATAAGCATTTATGTGTTTACTATATGCCTGGCAATGTGTTAAGCCCTGGAGATACAAAGAAAGGCAAAAACAATTCCTGCCCTCAAGAAGCTCACATTCTAATGGAAGGAGACAACATGCAAATGAGTATATACAAATAAAATATATGCAGGATAAATTGGAGTTGATCTCAGAGGGAAGGCATAAAGGGAGATGGGAAAGTCTTCCAGGAGGTGAGATTTTTAGCTGAGATTTGAAAGAAGCAAAAGCTTTAAAGTACAATATAAATGTTGTCTATTGTTATTATTATTATCCGGTCTAACCCCCTCATTTTATAAATGAGGAAAGTGAGGCCCAAGGAAATTAAATGATTTGCTCTGTGTGACCCTGGGCAAGTCACTTAACCCTGTTTGCTTCAGTTTTTCATCTGTAATATGGACTGGAGGAGGAAATGGCAAACCATTCCAGCATCCTTGCCAAGAAAAGCCCAGATGGGGTCACAGAGTGTCAGATACGACTGAAACAATTCAACAACAATCATCACCAATGTCAAACAGCTAGTAAGTAGCAGAGGAGAGATCTGATCCCAGGTCCAGCTGCCTCTAAGCCCCCGGCTCCACGGGGATGGTATTTGAATCTGCTGGCCTACTACTGGGTGTGTCCTCTCTGTCTCTGACCCCTGGGGATGTCTGCTGACAGAACTATACAGGAATGGAGTCCTTGGGCACAGGAACCTTAGCTCACACCCAGAAAGACACAGCCAGTAGCCAAATGAAAGAAGCTGAAATGAAGCTGGAAGGGGGAGGGATGCAGCCTTCTCCATCTTGCTCTACCTCCAGGCTGATGATCTCAGCTCAGCAATCCCCTGCCTTAAAAGCATCATCACCAAGAAGGGAGCCCACAAACTTCCAGTCACTCAGCTGGTCCCCTGTGTCTAGACAGATGAGATAGATGTGAGATGAGCCCACACTGAGATGCAGCCCAGCCCCCACTAAAGGCCTTCTCTTTCGCCAGAGAACTCAGTTCCTCAAAACAAAAAGGGGGCTAATTAATCACATCCAGGAGTTAATCATGAATAACACGAAGTTAATTTAACCAACGAAGTAATTAACTATGGAAAGTACCAACCTTTTAATGGTAAGGGACAGAAAAACTCTCAAGCTTACCACCTCCCTGCCCTGCCCTAACCAAACTTACATCCCCAGCACAGAAAAGCCTTAAGTTCTAATAATAATTCTACATGTTTGTCTAATGTTTTAAGGCGGCTAGGGGATAGAGCGGGGCCCTGGAGTTGGGGAAAACTGAGTTCAAATCCTGCCTCACACAGGTCTGAGCTGTGTGACCCTGGGCAAGTCATTTCTCTGATTCTCAGTTTCCTTATCTGTAAAATGGTGATAATAATAATAAATAATCAACAGAGGGAAGGCACTGGGATTAAAAGGGATTGGGTAATACTTCCTGTAGAAGGTGGGATTTTAAGGGAGAATTGAACAAAGCCAGGGGAAACCAAGAGGCTACGATAAAGCATACTAGTTATGGGGGAAATAGAGAAATCACCTGGAGAGATGAATGTGTCTGGTCTGGGGAAGAACAAGGAAGCTAGTGTCACTGGATTGGTCCCCTAACTTTAAGTCTAGTGCTCTTTCCATCATCACACTGCCCTTCAGGAAGTCAGCCAGTAGATGGTGAAGGAAATAAGCAATTAGATAGTACCTACTGTTTGCCAGACTCTGTGCTAGGTGCTTTACAAACATCTCATTTGATCCTTGCAGTGACTTATTATTATTTCCATTTTACAGTTGAAGAAACTGAGGCTGAGATAGGTCAAGTGATGCCATATAGCCAGAAAGTACCTAACTAGCATTTGAACTCGGATCTTCTTGCCTGCAGGCCCAGCTTTCTATTCACTGAGTCTCTTAGCCATCGCATAGCTTCCACTGGAGAGTAAGGATGAGATAGATTACCATAATAGCATCCAATCAGATTTCCATTGCACTAAGATTTCTAAAACCCTTTTCTTCCAACAACCTTGTCGATTAGACAAGGTAAGCATTATTATTTCTATTTCACAGAAGCAGAAATTGAGACTGTGGCGTGGGCCTACCTAGAGAGAATCCTGAGGGCTGAGTTAATCCTGGGTAACTTTAGTTTAAAAAAAATTTTTTTTTAAAGATTTGAAAGTCTAGCTAGTATTCAGTTAGGGAGTGGGTAGTTTTTTTTCATAAATCTGTACTTGGTAGAAGTGATAATAGCAGAATGAGGGACAAAATGAAAAAGATTAAGAACCAAAAAGAGAAAAAAAAGAAAAGAAAAAAGAATAAGAACCCCTTTCTTCCACTGATAAAAATATAGGGATGTTCTGAGGGGCTAGACAAAAACTTAGGAAGAGTACAGAATAATCCATAACTTAGACCCATAAAACTACTTATTTCAAATAAATGGGTGGGCCCATCCCAATGACAGTGATCTTGTATGTTTTCATTTTGATAGTTGGGGTTTTTTTTGGGGGGGGTGGAATCAAGCCTATCTCTTTGACAAAGAGTTGAAAATCTTCAGACTAAGTGAATGTTTAGAATGTAAGCTGCCTGAGGACAGAGTTGTTTTGTCTTTGTATTTTCATTACCTAGCACAGTCTCAGGTTTATGCTAGGCACTTAATAAATGCTTCCTTGGATAGTAATGTGAAGCAGAATCATAGGAAGATGGCTTGTGTTTTTTCACAGACCACTCTGATGATTTCCCAGTGCCTAAATGCAGAGCTGTTAACCAGTCCTATGGTGGGATAGAAGGCTGAGGGAAAGCTCCCAGAGGCAAGTTCAGAAGACCAGCAACAGGGTCAAGGAGATGCCAATAAACTTCAGTCTGAAAACGAATTTCTGCTCTGCTCTCAAAGACCTAGGTCTTTGTAATCCTAGATGCATCCTATAAGTAATCTTAAATAGAAATTTCCAGCTGTGTCAGTTGCTGAGTGACCTTGGACAAATCCCTTTACCACACTGGGCCTCATTTTTTTCTCCTCTGAAAACATAATAGGGTTTTGACTTGGCAATATCTGAGGTCCCTTCTAATGCTGACATTCTCTGAGTCTCTCAGTCTATATTTGATCTCCTGCCAGGAAGAATGCAAAAACAGGCCAAGACAACTGGAAATCTCCCCAGCATGTACGTCGGAGGGAGGAAAATTCTGGCCCACATTTGGGGACTGTAATCAAATGCAGTTGTATAGGGTTACCAGATACTGATTGTCTGAACAAGAAATGTAGGTTAAGAGCACAGATTTCTCTAATCCTGAGGTGTTTTTTTAGATGACTTATCAGATTCAGCCTTGAACTGCATTCAGCGTTCCCTCACTGGAGAGCTCTGAGAGGGGCTATACCAGAAGAGCCTTCCCATTGCAGAGAAAATGGGCTTGTCTTGTACCCTGGAAAAGAACACTTTTCCTTTACTCAGCCTTCAGAATACAAAGGGAAGTGATAAACAGTGGATTTTCACTCTACAAGAGGTAGGTTTTCATTCTGGCCTAGTAACTACTTGAATGATCTTGGGCAAATCACTTAACCTCTACGGGCTTCAGTCCCCATAAGATGAGGGGGCTTGATGAGATGGTCTCTGAGGTCTCTCTCAGCTCTCCGACTCTGATTCTCTGGTCCTCATCTGTGAAAAGAGGGGGTTGGGCTGGTAGCCTCTAAGGTTCTTCATAACTCAAAATCTACTTATGATCCAATGATTCTCTTTAGGTCTTAGTTTAATACAATGGAAAGAGAGTTGGATTTGGAGTTAGAGGACCCAGGTTCAAATTCTGACTCTTCAACTTATTTTCTATATAACTTTGGATAAATTTATCTTTTGGGGGTCTCTGGGTCCTTGCTTATAGATGGCCTCAAGGTCCAATTCAGCTCTAAATCTAGGGTCTTCTCTGGAGCTTAGCTTAGTACAAAGGTTCTTAATTTGGTGTCTATGAACTTACATTTTTTTATAACTCTATTTAAACATAATTAATTTCCTTTGTAATTCTATGTATTTTGTTTTATGCTTCTGAGAAGGGGCCCATAGATTCCATCAGACTGCCAAAGGATGCATGACTCCAAAAAGTTCACTGGAAAGAATGCTGGATTTGGAATGAAAGGACCTGGACTCAATCCTTGATTCTGCTACTTACTGTCTGTATGACTTTGGATAAGTCATCTGACCTCTCTGGGTCTCAGTGTCTTTGAAGGCCTTAATTGGCCTTTCAGCTCTAAATCATCAGTGTTCTGAAAAGTGGAAATAATAATATATCTGTCTGGATTAAATGGAAGACTGTTTGAAGGATAAGATGAGACGATAGGTGTGAAACGGCTTTATAGGCAATAAAGAGATTCACGAAGGTAAAAGAATGGTATTGTCATTGTCTTGATCGTCAGCATCATTGGCCTCCTCCTTGTTGCTCCGATGAGCCAAGGGAAAGATGCTATTAACTAAAAGAAGAGACTTTTGGCTCCTGAAGTGTGATCTGGAGAGGAATCATGAGTCAATCCCTTTGGTTCTCCAGATCATTTTTCCAAATCATTTATTTGGCAGTCTTTGCCACGGCTCCACCCACATTTCCCAACAACATCTCTTCTCCCTCCTCCTTCCCTTTTCTACTTCCTTCTCCTATTTCTCCAGCCCAGAATGATTCTGGAATGTCCAGAGCCCAGGACAGGGTTTATCCCCTTAGGCTATCCCCTTAGGCTCTGGCCCACCCAGGGGCTATAGGACCCTCTAGGATGGTTTTTGTTGAACTCCACAAGGTTCTGCAGGCACCCTCACCATTATAGTAGCCTCTGCATTAGCTCCCTATGGCCCTTCCATTGCTTGCTACACCCTTGGCCCTGCCCTGCCTCAGATGTCTAGGTTTATCTAAAATATGCATCTGCCTACAATAAATACTCCCAAAATTCTCTCCCTCAGACAGCGTGTGGAATGGTAGAAAGAGCATGGGGTGAGAAGTTAGAGATCTGAATGTTACTCTGATCTCTGCCATTAGTTTGCTGTGCGACCTTGGGCAGATCTCCTCATTCTCATTCTATGTTTTACAAATCAATTTCTTCAGTTGTAAAATGGGGGAAAGGATGCCTGTCCTAGTTACCACATAGCAATTTGAAGGCTTGAATGAGAGCAAATTTAATGATGTATGTGTAATTTATGTGCTTTGAAATACATAAAGTGATATGAAGGGCTCAAATCCTGCCTGTGATGTAAGCTGTCTGAGGGTCCCTGGGCAAGTTACTTAACCACTCATGTAGCTAATGTAGAAATGGGCCTGGAGTCAGAAAGATGGGAATTCAAATCTGGCCGTAGACACATTTTAGCTATGTGATCTTGGGCAAGTCACTGGTCCTCTGTTTGCTTTAGTTTCCTCAACTGTAAAATGGGAATAATAATAGCACCTACCTTAAAGGGTTGCTGTGAGGATCAAATGAAATATTTTATAACAGCACAGTACCTGGCACACAGTAGGTCCTATAAAAATGCTTGTTCCTCTCCCTTCCTCCCCTGTCTACCTATTTATGCATCTGGGATGTGTGAGGTATTCAGGGAGAACTAGCACCTCTGGTGTGAGGGCTTGCCAAGCTGTATTCACAGCCGTATATCCACCTTTAGTGTCCACCTTTACCCAACTCTCACCTGTGGCTCCAAGAAGCTGTAGCATGCACAGTGGCCACACCCTGGTCAAACCATCTTGGCAGATGGGCTAGACCAAGCTGAAGGTTAACTGACAAGCCTCCAACTTATCGGTAAGTTAGGGGAATGTCTACCCTAAGTATGTGAAGACTTCCTCCGCTGGAATAGGCAGATGAGAACAATTTGTTGCAATGGCCACAAAAGTGGCTAAAGCAGGCGCTGTGGAGTACTCAGAGCTTGGTCAGACATCAGAGACACCAAGGGCATCCATCGCATCCCTGGTCGTCGCCGGACGTCCTGACTTTTATCCTGCCATTGGACTTTGACTCTGGAAGAGAAAGTGAGGCTGCCGACTTCATGCAACTCTACCTCACTTGAATCCAATTCGCTTGAAACTCAAGACATCACCCCAAGACATCACTGGTCCTCTGAAAACAAAGAATGAGCAGCAACATCCATGTATCTATCTATTTATCTCATTCCTATCTACTTATCTCATGGATGAACATTATTAATGTTGCCCAATCAACATCCCACTTGTATTAGCATAGTTAATACATTATGCCCAGACCCTACCTGAACTTACAGGTCCCCTTCTATGATATGATTCAGCCAATCACTCATTTTAAGTGGTTCCTGTAAGATTACCTCCTCCCCCTCAAATAATGTTGTTTTGCTTAAAGTCATTTTTTCTTAGGACTAGTAATTAACATTAGATTGGACATACCTGAATTATCCATCAATCAATAACAAACGTTTATTACGCTTCTTCTGTTTCTAGCCTGTGCTAGGCAGTAAGTGGGGGCCGTGTCCAATCGTCCTGATCTATATCTTGGCCACTGGACCCAGATGGCTCCAGAGGAGAAAGTGAGGCTGGTGACTTTGCACAGCCCTCCCTTCCTTAAGTCCAGTTCACTTGCAAGTCACGGCATCACCTCCATGATGTCGTGGTCCTCTTCAAGAACGAAGGACAAACAACAACAAGGCACTGAGCTGGTGGAATCAGAATCTATTGCATTTCTTTTAGGCTACCTATGCATTTTCGTCAGGACCATTGCCTAATTCCCTTGATGGCTACCTGACATTTAGGGCCCAGACTTGAGGCTCCATCCTTCTGGTTGTACTATGTAGCAGACCAGCTTCAGAAGTCAATCTGCTCACTGTCAACAAGGAAAACGAAAAGTTTTTAAATAAAATACTTGAAAACAAAAAGGAATCAAAAGCGGCAATGAAAGGACAATTTTGTTACTACCTTGTTAAATTGAACATACATTATATGTTAAAAAAACAAACTGCATGTAACCATGTCTGTGGTTGCAAATCCTCCTTTTTTGTCCTTCTTTGTCTATTGGAATGCTTGTGTTTGTTGACTGTTGTTACATTCAGAATAAAAAAAACATTTAGTAAATAATTTTCCATCTCTGTGCCACAGCTTACATGAACAACCAGGGCTTAGGGGCTACCTTTCAAACTGTAGCACGGAGGTCAGGCAAAAAAAAAAAGCCAAGGCTTGATTTTTTTCCTCCTGACCCATCAGGGAAGCCTAGCTTGGACGACTACAATCCTTCTTGTGAGCTGAAGGACCATCAGTTCTGTCTCACCATATTTTTTGCCACTTTATCCTGAGGTCCTCTTGATCTTAACATCTGAAGGTGCAGAACCCTCCAGATCCCTGGGGACTTCTCTCTGACTTGCTGATGTACCCTAAGGTCCCCTGGGTCTCGCCACTTGCCCTGTTCCTTAGAATTTTCCTTAGAATTTTCATGCCTTTCTATCTGGAACTCTCTGCTATGTGTTATTTCCTCCAACCAAAGGGTAAGCTTCTCAAGGGCAGGTACTGTCTCATTTTTTTCTGGTAGTATCCCCAGTGTTTGGCACTTAGTAAGTGCTTTTTGAATTTGTTCATGCAATCACAGCACTTGGAAAAGGTTCACAAAGAACAGGTTATGCCAAACGAACCCCATTTCCTTCGTTGATAAGGGTACTAGGATTGGTAGAATAGGGGAGTAACCACAGACTATGCCTGGCGAGTTCCCTATCACTGGAAATATTCTGACAGAGGCTGTGACCATCTGTCAGAGATGCAAACGGTTTCCTGCGTTTGAAATGAGAGTTCATTTGGATAACCTTTGAAGTCCCTTTTAATACTAGCACAGATAATATTGATGAAGAGCATTTGTCATTATGCAATAAGTGAATGAATAAATCAAATCAAATGTTTATTAAGCGCTCACAATGTACCAGGTATCTATATGATTTTAAGTCATTTTCTCTCTACATACCATTTCTAATGTTAACTAGGGCATGTTGAGAGTACTTTGAAGAGATGAGACTAAATCCCACCAAGGTCTCAGCTATCCAAATAGCTGTAGAATTTCCCATCTAGGAGACTTGAGAGAATTTTTCATGGTAATTTTGTTCTGTCTCTAGTAGTTTGAAAAGCCAATTAAATGCTATTTTTTGAAAATATTTCCATCCAACCAGGGTAAAATGACACCATCCATTTGAAACATCTGTGCAGCGTGTGTTACGGCTGATGTAACAAATCCATAGAGAGCACACTGTACTATTTGTCTGGGTGGGAAAGCCTCCAAAATGCAATCTGCAATGGGGGATGCCTGATGGTCCAACGGAACTGCCACATTTTAGGTACATCTTGCATACTTTTCATTCTCTCTTTTCTCCCTCCTTCACTATCCTCAGAAACACATTTGGATTCATCCCATCCTTGGAAAATCTAAAGACCTCTCCATGCCTTATATGGACACATTAAGGAGATAGATAATATCCCACTCAGGCAATACCATCCTAAGGATTCATTCATTTGACAAACATTTGCAAATCTCCTACTGTATGTGGAACCCTGTCAGAGGCACTGGGGGAAACATGACATTCATCTCACTTTGAGTATTTGCCCCCTCTCCTCACTACCTATCAGAATCCCATCCATATTTAAAGGTCCAGTTCAAGTCCCAACTTCCCTGGCTCTATGGATAGACCACAGAGTCTGAATTCAGAGCACCCTGTTTCAAACTCACTTACTACCTGCATGTCCTTGGATAGGTCATTTTACTTTTCTGGGCCTTGGTTTACCCATCTGTAAAAATGAGGACATTGGACTAGAGAGGACCTATAAGTTTTCTTCAGGCTCTAATTCTATGATCCTACTATCTCCCTCTGCTCAAAATTTTATAGAACTCATACTCAATACTATGTCTTCATTATTTATAATTATTCTACGTGCTTGTTTTAGCTCCCTAAAGAGACTATAGGCCCCTTGAAGGCAGAGATTGGTTTTTATTCTTCTGTTTCCCCCTTAGTACTTTGCAGAGAACTGAGTGTACCATGTTTGCTCATAGCTAAATCCTGTCTCCCTTGGTTAGGGTGGGCTCTTGAATAGAGAAACACCACTGGAGAAGAGCTAGAGACAAGGACTATATACACTTGTTGAATGGTGGCTCACCTACCAGGTGGGATTGTCAAGGAAGAAATTCATAGAATCATAGATTTAGAACTGAAAAGGATTTCAGACTCCTCTCCCCATTTTAAATTAATGTTTTATATGTTATATTTTACAGTGTAATATTTTAACTTTGAAACTTGGTAGTCCATGCATGGCATTTATAGTAACATCAACATAACTGACATATTTCATTTATGTCAATATTACATTCCTAAACTAGCCAGTCTGAGTAAATGGAAATCCATTGTAATC